GTCTGGAATTCTTAACAGATGGATCGTGAAATGTTTGGTTTTTTCCTTGGACCTTTTTGTGCGTCTGCCTGCAGGGCGCCGGTGAGAAGTGCGGCATGGGATACTGCAGCCGGCTGGCCCAGTCAGCGCGGCCCCTTAGCCGGCTGGTGGGGACGGGGTGCGAGGACGACAGATGGAGATGCGGGAGCCGTGCCAGGGCTATTGGACGACTTTGGTGCGATGCTCATTGGTACGAGATTCGCGTGCAATGTGCAAGTCTGGCCAAACCAAAAACACATCGTTTACAGTGACACGTGGGCACGTCCCTGCTGTGGCGCACGGCCAAAAAGGGGACAGCGAACGCCACACGGGAACACGAAACCAAAAATGTCCTGCTGTGCCCGAATGTTGGTCGTATTGGGTGGATTTTTTTTTGTGATGTTTTTGCTGCCTCTGAATGCTGCAAGGAATTCGGCAATGCGCTGCCGATGCTGCCGGCACCATTGGTCTTGCTGCCGATGCGGGCAACCGAGCCCCAACCCAGGGCCGACGCAGAGCTGCCATCTGCTTCCAGGCCACCAGAGCAGCCAAGGTTCGACACCTACCCCGAGCTCACGCCTGTCGAGCCATAGGGCCGTGACTGCACTTGTACGCTTCGGAATCGCTGCCAACGCTACCTGGGTTGTGTGTTTGGCATAAGCTGCCATCGTTGCAGTTGCTTGGCAATTTGTTTTCGCTAACTGGTAGCTCCTTGCCTGAACCACAGCCCTTGCTCGACTTGGCAAAGCCAACGGTGAAGAAGTCAAGCGTGGGCTGAGCCTTGCCTGAGGGCCGCTGCCCCGGCCAGTGCTCACGAGCCGATTCCTACCGCGCTGGCCTCCCGGCACGCCCTGCTCCCTGTACTGAAACAGCTGGTGGGGCTCGATACGCGCGCGCGGACTCGCTGCAGATCGCGCACCAAACCGAGTGCACCATGCACCGTTCCATCGGCCCAACCTCGGCCCCAAGTATGCGAGGCCTTTTTTTCCTGTTATGTCTGGCTGCGGGCCGCCGCCGCAGCCCGCTTGCGCCCCTCGGCAAGACGCAGTGCAGCTCAATCAAACAATGCACGGCTGCGACTGGCCCGCCTGCGTCCAGGGCGACACAAGCTTAACGTCGCAGCACCATGCGATCCTTGCGGGCGTCGCCCCGTAGATGAGCAAGTCGGGGCGGCGACCGTCTTCCGGTCTGCCGTGTGACATGCCGCACGGGCGCTTTGCAGGGCATGTCGCGCATCTTGCCATACAAAATCCGTCTTGGTGGGTATCATCTCTATAGCGCAGGAGTTGGGGCCTCCCAGCCTCTAGGTATTCATGCCGGCTGTTCGCTAGGACTTGTCAAACAATGGTTGAAGCATGTACGACTAATTTTGCTAGACCGGGGCCAGGCAAATTACGTCTCCAATGCAGCGCTCTACAATTTGCGGGCCTACTTGCGGTGGCGGCCCTTGCCGCATTTGCATACCCTTGTGTACGGTCACCACATTCTGGCTCACCATGTCAGATTGTGGGGCGTAGCCCGATGTGGTCATCACAACTTCGCTGACGGCAGATTTGCCCGTCACCGCGGTGTTTGTGTTGACGGACCTTGTCGTTTTTTGTGCATCCGCCGCAAACTCCTGGACCATGCCCTCCAAGGGTGCCCTGCGCACAATCAAGCCCGAAGACTCGAGCCGACTGGCATCTCCCTTGGGGTCAGAAGCT